TATAGAATTTTACTTAATTTCAAGCTTGCATCCAATGGCTTTATGTACAGGATGCTATGGAAAGTCACCATCTTGGATAGAACGTACATGTGTCCTTTCAAGGCCTGGTTCTTTCATAAATTGTACATTGCTTCAGAGATACATAATAATTAATAGTATTGAAACTACTGGCATTATAAGAATATACAGCATGAGAAATTCTATCACAAGGTTTGTGGCCGTCGCTCTTTTTATCAAGTGAAAAAGAGGACCACCCTCAGTCCAAAGTGACTCAAGTCAGGAAACATTTTACTTTCACTCTATTGTGACAAACACAATGTATTATTTATGAACACAAATAAAACGTAAGGAGGCATATACATACAAATTATGAATTGTAGTAAGCTACTCAAATGTCTTTAAATAACAGAAAATAGTTATCGTAGTTTTCATACTATGAATACTGTTGAAGCTGTCATATTTTGAACAATAAGTTGATATAATTATCTAGACCAGTGCTTTCATTGAAGTCTGAGCTGCACAAAAATAAAAGAAAGTGAAATAGGGAACAACTACGATGTTTATTCATTTCCCCAATGCAAATCATTTTGTATAAAACATATCTAACAACACATTTATTTCATATTTTACCTTAAAATTAAGCTATTGTAAGTCATGACAGGTAACATTTAAAAAAATAAAAATAAATTGGTAACATTCTTCTGTCGCCTCCTGACGCTAAAATCCCATGTTTTGAAACTGCAGATTTGTTAATAACCTGTTTCCCACTGCCCTCATTCTCACCTGGATCCATCGTTCAGCCACATTTGTACGCTCGCTCCGGCCAATGAAAAAGCAAGATCGCACGTGACAAAGTAAAAACAAAAGTGTTGCACAAAAGAAACGCATGATTCAGGCATGGCAAGTTTATTTGTATAGCACGGTTCATACACACGGTTCCTCAAAGCGCTGAACAAAACAAGAAAAAAAAACAAGGCATTCAAATAATAAACAGTATTAATACACATGTCTTATATCTCAAAGTGATCGCACATCACTGCGTTATGAGTATCGCACTTTCCGTTAATGCAACGCCCATATTTTTTTTAACTCTATATTAAAAAAAAATTCTGTTATCACCGTATCTATGCACCGCTAATTTAAAGCTATCTTCCATCGGGATATCCGTGCGTATCATCATGCTTGGTTTGAACGTGGCCATGGAAACTATTTGAAACCGTCGTCTAAAATGTCAATACTCGTGCGCAGTGGGGATGCCAGGACCAAATCTTGTTAGCAATCCTAAATAGAAATACGACACAGTAAAATGCCCTTCTATATTTACGCACCGTCTACTTATATAGACTACTGGTGTTTGTGCATTTTTTCAGGTCATTCCGAGCCAGCTGTGGGCTTTTTACGAAGGCGTCTCCAAGCCAGAATGTGTCCGGATTTGCTCTTACGTAATCTTGCAGTGAATCTGGCTTGGGTTTAATATCAAATACCTCTTGGCCCTTTGGAAGGTCTCCATGTCCAAACACAAGATCATTGTGTTGCGTTGTTGCGTAAGCAGTGTTTCCAAAGAGCCGGTGGGGTCTCTGTGCTGGAGTAATAATGAAAAAGGTGTTTCAAGTTTGTTAACATGTTTTTTTTTTTTGCGGTAGTACATTTTAGGCTTTGTAAGTTTGTTTTGTTAAAATCTTAGCATGTTCCCTCATTAAAATGTGTACCTGGACTTGGATTCAATGTGAACTCTAGATGATCTTTCCTATTGGGTGTTATGCAATCTAATGTCAGATTTTTCGCTTCTCGAGTAAGACGGATCAGATTTGCAGCGTCACACCACAATTTCAAGTTGGTGTAGTTATCCTAAACAAAAGAAAAGCCTATTCTTCTTTTTTCTTCATCTTTTTCTGAATTCTGAGTTGTTGAATAAATAAAGTACTGTATACAATCACCCATTAATTCTTATCTCCAACCTTTTAGAACTTACAACCGGTGTGCCAAACTTGTTTTGGATAAATAGCCCAAACAGAAAGTCTCAATAATGAAATCTTGAACAAATGAGCTCCTCTTAGTAAGTAAGTAAGTAATGTTTATTTATATAGGGCATTTTACAGACCAATGTCACCCAAAGCACTTTACAATGTTCAGTGTTCAGATATTGTTCCAATCCCTCCACACACGTGATGACGGAAGCGAGACGGCAAACACACTGGTGCGTCAAAGCCTCCAATCAACCATCCATTCACTCACTCGTTCAGAAAATAATTAATTTGTCTTCCTAGGTCTTTGTCTTTTTGGAAAACATTATCTTTAGAATACTTATAGAAAGAGCTGTAGGCACCACTGTGATATCCTTCAGGATCAATAAAGTTTATCTTATCTTATAGGAAACACTATTTTAGGCTTTGGGCTGAGAGCTGATTGGCTGAGTGAGGGGAGTCCTCTTTTAACATATTTTATCTGAAAAAGCTAATCCAAAGATGTGACAGAGGCCAAAAATACTTGCATAATGTCCAAACACAAGACCATTGTGTTGCGTTGTTGAGATAAATCCAAACTGGTTTTGAGTTAGAAGGCTTTGAATACCTTGTCAATTTATTTTGTGGTTTGAAAGTTAGTTACACCAGCTTCAACGTTAAAAACACATCTTTAGCCCATAAAAGTAGAACAAGAGTCAAACTGACTACATCTAAATCATGTTGCTAATTGTTATTTTCCCACTGGGTGAAGATCAAAGCCTTAACCTGACAGCTGACCACAACGTGAACATAATTTGGGATTTAACCCTTTGAACCGGACTCAAAGGGGCTCAGAGGTCAAACAGAGAAGAGAGCGCTCAGCAGGAGGTGGGTCAGGACAAATGCTGACACACCAGACATATTCGGGACAAAGCAACAACAATATCGTCTCAGAGGGAATCGGAGGGGCAAACAAAATCACAGGCTGTATTCCTAAAGATTATTAGTGCTAAAAGTCGCTCCTACAGGCCAAGACAATTCTTAGAATCTTGACATACCCCTAAAAGTGAAGAGTAGATCCTAGTTAAGAAAAGCTATTCTTAAAGAATCCTAGCTCTTAAGAGAGCTCCTAAGGTGAGATCTCTTAAGAGTAGAGTGGTGGACTTTTAGCGACTTAGGAGTTCCCTAGACTCTTTATTGATAAGCGCGCTGCTCTGGGGGGAATTTCTGCCATTTAGCCTGCTTTCACCTGCAGCCCTGCACCGGACGCCACTAACACATTTGACTTTATCTAATTTGCTTGAATGAAAATCCATCCATCCATCCATTTTCTTCCCCTTAATCCATTTCTGGGTCGGGGGGGTGGCAGTCAGAGCTGCACCCAGTACACAGAGCAGCGGCCCCTCACTGATCCTCCTGCAGGTGGTGAGTCCACAGGAGCTGAGATCTTTCAGTGGGAGCTGAATGAAAATCATTAACTGATTATAAGCCGAACAGAGGAGGGAGTGTGCTAGGGCTACGGGCGGGATGAGCTTCGGCAACTGAACACGTCGTCACCCCTTCTTTATATTAAAGCTGTACTAACTGACTTTATTTTTGTGTTCATTACGAAAATCCAATCTTTTTCCATGCAGTGCATTGGGATATACGTCCTTTTGAAGAAAAAGTAGCGCAGATTTGTGCTTGCGTGTCATTTAATTTTGGATCGAGTTTTTGTGAAACAGGTAAGAGAATGTGTTTCGGGTCCAGATTGTGACCAATCACAGCGGACCACTGGCCCCCACTTTCTTGAGAAAAGCCACAGGTCTCTTGTTAGCACAGACAGCTGAGGTATACAGGCGGCGGAGAATAACCTGAAACGTCCCGTGTCTTCGTTACCGGCTTCTGCTTACACAGCGAAACAGCCAAAAGAAAGTCTCGTTCCTCCGCGCTTCCTGTTTCTATCAATCTATGGTCACGCCATCCACGTTCAAAAGTGCAATCCATATTCTGAGAGGGGGGTGTGTAGTGTGGGGCAAAAGATTCGTGCGGGCAGGGCGAGCAGAAAGTGCGTGCTCACCGCACACATTCGAACATTTCTCAAAGTCAATTAGTGCAGCTTTAATTCTGTCTAAAACAAAGCATTCAGGAGTAAAATTGCAGTGCAAATGACAAGACCGATCATGGCTGACATTCCTCTTCTTTGGGAAAACGTCTGCGGCTTTTAGCACTAACCAGATCAGGCTGCTAACAAGCTGCTGCTAACCACATAGCATGGAGCATGACCTGCGACACAAGAGGGTTCACTGAGGTCCAGAGGACGCAGACGCAGACAGACATTAGCGTCACGCAACCGCAGCACCAGGAAGGGTCTGTCTGTGAACTTTTCAGCCATTAAACAGAACGTTTGTCTGTTTCTGTTTGGAGAGATGGTTTATAGATGATTAAAGGAGACTCAAAGCAGAGGTCGATAGAGAAGCATTTATCAACCTATGGCACACATGTTCACCTGTTGCGGTTTTGGTGTTTTTACAAATTTTGGTTGTACAGCAGATATTGTATAACTGCTCGTAAAACATGAGTGACCTATATTTATAGTCAGAAGAGACCTTTTGTGGGTCTCGTTCTGGTTCACCATCTCTCTCTGATAAAATAAATATGGTTCTCTAAAATACGGGTGAATATGTAACACTTTATGTAGCCGACTTTAAACAGTCCTGACGAGTGGTGTTTTTTCAATATTACGAGTATTAGCATATTAGCTTTAGCTCATAGGACCTTCTGCAAACGTTTGTATTTACTAGATATTATGATCTGTAATATCCCCCGTCGCTATAGACCACGTTAGTAGGGCCTCACTTTTACTCAAATGGTTGCTGGGATCACCACGGCAACAAGATCATATTGAATAGAAATCCATTCTGCTTGGTTGCCATGGAGATTGTGTTATGTCATAAAAAGGAATCTTTATGACATAACACAATTATTGTCCACTTAGGCCGCACAACAAGAGTCAGTGAGACTCCAGGTCAGAGCAAATATCCTTTACTTTGATAATTCTTGTTTGTACATTTTAGAATGCCGCGCAGAAGTGTGCGACTTGAGAATGCGGGGTACTACGATGTGGACGGTAGCCCTCGCATCTCCTATTCCACTGTGACCCGGCGTCACACTTTCCCCCAGGACCAGGTGAGACCCCCTCAGGTCCATGTGTCTGAGCCAGTCCCGAGGTCTGAGCCAGTCCAGAGGTCTGAGCAGACCAGGTCTTGGCGCTGGTTCAACTGGTTCAGCTGGGGCTTGCTCCTGAGGCTCCTCTTCTCCCTGACGGCCCTGGTGATCTCTGAAGCTCACATGTGGGGCCTGAGGAAGGAGCTGCATCATCTCCAGCAGGATCTGGGACGTCTGCAGACAATGGTGCCGTCTCAGGCCACCCTCTGGGCAAACTTTGCGTTGGCATCGCATGGAGCTCAGGTCCTAGCCGCCCTCAGCTCCAGCACCCACCAACAAAAGGGTTGGCTGACTCCCAGTTGGCTGACACCGTACTCTCCAGGGGAGGTGATCAAGGGCCAGCATTACCCTCTGGTTCCTGGGCATTGCTGGGCCTTCTCTGGCCAGACAGGAGAGCTGTTTGTGGCCCTGGCTCAGAAAATTCATGTGTCTCACATCACTGTGGGCATATCTATAAAGAGCAGTTGGTCACAGGAGAGATCCTGTCGGCTCCAAAGGCCTTCGCCCTTTATGGTCTGGAGGAAGTGGATGGACCAAAGATCAACCTGGGGACCTTCCAGTACGAGTCTGATGGAGACTCATTCCAGACCTTTGAGATCAAAGAGCACACCTCCAAGATCTTCAAGTTTGTGAAGCTGGAGGTCCTGACCAACCATGGCCACAAGGACTACACTTGTCTGTACAACTTCAGGGTCCATGGGAAAATCCCTGAGGCTGCAACCACCTGGTAAGCTCCACATTGTCCACTTAGGCCTGTCACAAAAACAAATTTTGCTAGACGATTAATTGTCTAGCAATGTGATCACCTCTCATGGAGGTGAACGAGGAGGTGAACGAGGTGAACCTCTCATGGAGGTGAACGCGATTTATTTATTTATTGAATATTGCGACAGGCCTATGTCCACTAATTTAAAGTTTTACATTTCTGAATTTGCCATCATTGGGTCTGACCAGACCGGATGAGGGCAACAGAAGAACTGCTGACACCACATGTTCAGCTCCTTTGAGTCTCGTCTGGAGGAGACAGGGACAGACTCTGGTTTTGTCTCATGGTCTGAAACTTGGTCATGGACAGATCTGGATTCTGTTCATTTCATTTTGACTTTGATCCTTGTTTGGAACTGTAAATCTCACAGAGGAGGGGGCGGGCATTTTTGATGACCTTTCCCTTCAGTAAAGTGTGATTGACAGCTGCTTCAAGGTGAGATGAGGAATGAAATGAACAAAATGAGGACGTGTTCCATGTGTTGGTTAAAACCATGAGATCCAGATCCGACCTTAAGTTCTGCTCAAGACGAAGGTCTTTTGGCTGAGAACATGTGGGGTCAGACAGACACTATCAGGGCGGCACGGTGGCACAGTGGTTAGCACTTGGGCCACACAGTGAGAAAGTCCTCCAGGACCTTTCTGTGTGGAGTTTGTATGTTCTCCCCATGTCTGCGTAGGTTTTCTCCGGGTACTCCGGTTTCCCCTACCACTAAAAAACATGTATAATAGGTAATTTTACAGGCCCAGCTTTTCATGAATTGGCACTACCCCATTCGACAATAAATTAGAAATAAAAACTACTTTTAAACAACAACCAGAATGTGTTTTGATTATTTCCATATTATTTCTATTGACAGAGTAAGGTATTGCGATGTCTATGAAACTACTTTGAAATGGCGGACGGAAGAGGCAGGAGAGATATTCTAGAAACACTGGATGATAGTGGGGCCAAATTTACTTCTCAAAACACTTTTATGCTCGTGGCTCATGACCAATTGAGCCAGAAGCAAACACTGTTCCTCTGTCTAGTTGGGTTTCCTCTTTTATTCCCCATTGCTATTCACTTGTTCGTGATCAAGTTGAAAGCCAACCATCACAGCTTCTTATAGACTGGTTAGCAATCAAAGCGGTGCCATTTTACCACCGTTACAGCAAAGTGAGTAGAAATGGTAAAAGTTGGAAAAGAAAAAATGACCAGCATGGCACTTAATATGGGCAAATACATTTCACTATCTCTGTGGTAATTTTTGATGATTAAAAATACTAACTTACTCTTCACAGTATTCATTTTTACAATGACATATCTAACTATCTTTTATGCAGAATATTATTTACAATGACAGTCTTCCTAAGATTAGATTCCATGTTTAAGTTTGTCCATTTGAGGGTCCATATTTTGGCCATTATCACTAAAAGTAAGTTTTCTCAAACTTTTAGGATCAAAAGAACGACTCATACCTGTCAACGGGATCAGCCACGCCTCCTCACTAAGATAGAAGTTTTTGTCCATTCCTTGCTCAGAGTTCTCTGAGAATGTTCTGGAATAACTTTTTAGCTGAGACTCCTTGCTAAGAGTTTTTAGGTTAAGTTAGGAGCTCTCTCACTTTGGGTTTGGACAGCAATGTGTTTCTCTTAACATTTTGGCAATGTGAAATTCAATTAATCATTGAGGGTGAATTGGAACGCTGACAGTTTTACACCACTGGATTTTAAGATGCTTGATAAAAAGACAGAGGGATCAACTAATTTTAAAGGGAATAAATAAATGTCCTGGGAACGGCGTTTGATTATTAGACCCTCCTTTGATAGCATGAAAATAAAAAAAAATAGCGGTAGATAGCGAAACCTCACGGAGAACCACAGTGAGAAGAGATCCCATGGACAGGATGGAAATGAGCCCAGGACTGAGGCTGTAGATGAGGCCAGGACTGAGGCTGTAGATGAGCCCAGGACTGAGACTGTAGATGAGGCCAGGACTGAGGCGGTTGTCCAGGCTAGAAGGAGGTGAATTCAGAATCTCCTTGATGAGGACACATTCAGTTATCAATAAATGCCATCAGATAAATTATGTATGATCAAAAGACTTGGAAACCCTTGTCAGCTGCAGCTCAAGGAGAAGATCCCATTTTTAAGAGACTTTAGGAATTACCACAACACAAAGTAGTTCATAATATAATGTCATCTTTCGATAATTAGCAATGATCTTTGAAAAGTACGGCATACGGTGGAAAGGATTATTTGGCAAAAAGACAAGTTTGGTGCTGGATACAAAGCAGACTGCAGGTCATATCTGCGGAGAGGAAAGTCAACCTATTGAAAAAAATTATGTTGTTTTATATCACATTAAAGAACATAAGCTAAGTCATTAATTTTGGCCATACCTGCCTTTGAATGCCAGATCCCGTTAGACCACTGATGCTATTCAGGGCAGGGCCTGGTTAGTGTTGTGATGGGAGTCCTTGGGGTACACCGGGTGCCATAGTGGGAGGCTGCAGCTGTAAAGTGCCAAACTGTCCTTGGGCAAAACACTTCACCAACATTGCCTAGAATGAGTCTGGTGTGTGTGTGAATGGTTGGTGGTGGTCGGAGGGGCCAAATGGCACAGACTGGTTGCCTCGTGGGGCTACATTAGTCGTTTATCACCACTGTGTATGGAGCGAATGAATAATCACATGTGAAGTGACTTTGAGTGTCCTAAAAAGTGCTACATTGTATAAAAACCTGTGCATTATTACTACTATTAAAAGAAAATTGACCCAATGCACATTTTAGCACAATATTTTCTTGAACGTTCAACTTCAAACTCCACTCTCCACAGATAAGAATATTAAGGATCTGGACATGGCTTAGCGGGATTCTGGAGCAATCCACGGCGCCTCAGCTGTTACTGTGATAAAGCGCTTGATCGACTCACACAGACAGCTTCTCTATTTGCACCCCTCTGATATACTTAGATGGACCACTACGCAGACCACCCACTGTATATAATGTAGGCCACCTGGCTAATAAGAAGTCAAGTCTATATCTTCCCATCTCTACTTGTTATGTCTCTATGGTCTTTTAACTGTCTAGTAAAGATGATTCCTAACATAAGACAGTACAGTATGGTACATGCAGATCAAATCATACTTGACGTTTAATGTCAGAATCTGGGCTACTATGGCAAGTTATACATAATTTAAAGATAATTTCATCATTTAAACGACAAAGCCCTTTATATTACACATTGAACCCTAAAAGCAACATGTATTGAATGCCCTGTTCCCTGTGGTCCAGTTTTGTTTCAATCCAAGCTAGCTGTATTGTGTTTTGCGTAGAAATATATGATACTCATACAATGTAATCCGTACTCATATTCAAGAACAAACTTTCAAAAAAACGTTTGATTCATTTGTTTTGTTTTGATTTTCTATATTTATTTAAAGAATGCAAAGATTCATTTGAAATGTAGGGGTATGAAAAGTGCTGGATAATCACATGTACTACTTTCTCTGTCCACAAAAGGGACCAAAGATATTTGCCATGTCGCACACGTTCTGTGAGAAATGAATGGAGAAGCAGCAACAACGCCCCCTGTTTGTCAAGCCCATCATGCAGACCAGCCTCACCCAGACCTGATCCCACGCGCCCCCAGCTAAATTGAGTTTGAGACCCATGAGTTTGTGCATATATGTGTGAACATAAAATGGTGAAAACAAGCGCTATATAAAACCGATGCATTATTATTATTATTATATGCCTATGTTAGTGATAACACCTGAACCAACCCAGTTTAGATACAATACTGTCACTTCATATAAAACAATCTTTGAAACATGAGCACATGGAAAAAATAGGGTTGTGTCCTTTCTAAATGAAACCACATCAGGCTTTTTGCAGTGCATATTTATCTGATTGCAACTACAGTATGTGTTCTAATGCTTGCCCAGCTATTAACGTTTATAGTGCAGCAAATATTGGTCCATAAATGAAGTGTTATAATGCACACTTGTCAGTTAACTAACCACACTGGTCCTCTAATGGTGCTCGTGGAAAGGTTTTAAAACTTTATTAACAACCTCAGCAGACGCTGGAAAAGCTCACAGAATCGACATGGTGGACACGGTAACCTACAGAAACTGTTACCAGTGGTTACCGTGATACCCCTAGTTGTTCAGCCCTCATTGTGGTCCATATTAACCTCTTACTATTACTATTGGTTTTAAGTTAAGATAACTATGTGGGCTTTGCGTACCCATTGGTTGGATAAGTAAAAAGTTAAAGTAGGCGTGTGCCTATCTGCTTCTGTCCATTGTTCACATATACAGTAAACTAAAGTATTTGCTTCCATTTCTCGAGTGCTTCCACCAAAATTCACTGTTCGGTTAGTTGCCTGTTCTTCTTAATCTTTTACAAATACCACCTATTATATCCTGAGAAATCCAGACCCAATCGATGACGTAAATATCTTTAAAAATTAAGGTAGAAGCATGAGGCTCTGTCTGATCAGTGGTAACAATCGCTGCGGTGCTGAAAATCCCATTTTTGGTTCAATCTAAGTGATTGAACCAAATATGGGATTATTCTCAAGTATTCCCTCCATCTTCTGTTTGTTTAGTCTGCTGTCGAGTGTGATTGAGCCAATCTCGTGAGTTCCCTTGTTATGGTGATACCTGAGAGCAAAGTTCAAAGCCTGGCCAGCGCACCGGTTAAACCAACACCACCGCACTGAATCGTACTGTGCGAATATTAACTGTAAAATCACTCTCGAGGCTGTGTATTTGCATAGAGGCAGCTTTGTTACCGCAACAGCCCGTCTGCTTGTTGGGCTAACTCTGGGATGTACGAGGTGGATATGTAGTCAAAGCAAATACAGCTACTCGTGCGCTAATCTGCAAAATCCTGCCTGAGAACTGTGCAAGGATTTCAGATCTTTTCACTGGGCTTTGTGAAAACAGCGGACGATCCTTTTGAGCTTTAACCGTGTTCTGGCATATTTCCCATCTTCTGCGTTCACAAGACTTCACTAAAAAGGAGCTCTCTCTGCAGATTGGGTTTCGATACGGCACAAAACGTACATACCCTGCAACCTGGTGGTATCTGTGGTAAAAATATCTCAGAGGGGCATTTTAGGATCTTTTGTTCCTTCAGCTATAAGAGGTTCTGAGCCCAACATCTGCACTGTTGTTAGCAACTTTAAGAATTAAGTTTTTATTGATGTTTGTATGGGATGTGTTTCTGCTGCTGGACACCTGGATATCCACCTTAATCAATACATTCTATTCTATTGAGGAAGGAAAACTATTGGAGGAGGAAAACTTTAAACTTAATCAATTACTGTTATCTTAGGAACAAAAAACATATGCGCCCACGGAGATTGCATACCCTGCCAAGTACATGTACCTTTCTATCCATCAAACCCGATCTACAGACAAGTTGCTATTTTCAGCTCCTTACTTCCACAGAGACTATAATGGAAAATATATGGATAATTGATTACGAAATTTATTACAAAATATTATATATATTATGTTACAGCTAGCTAAAAAAAACATAGCATTACTTACATTGTATATTTTGTGTGCTCCCTGCGTGCTCTCACTACTGTCATGTATGAATGCTGCGACACTGAAATGTTCCCACTGTGGGATGAATAGAGGTTCTCTTATCTTATCTTTTATTGTGGATATGTGTGTGTGAGTGTGTGGGTGTCATATTGTTGTGTTTTGCATGATTTTGATCGTTGTTTTGTATTGTGTTGTAGTTTGTGTTTGAATGACTGGGTGGGGATTGGATTAGAATAAGCTTTTTGCCTCGACCAATCCATGTTCAAACCATGCAAAGTTTTTTCTTGTTTACTCTTTTTTTTTTTTTTTTTGTGAATAAGTGTCTGTTTATCTCATCATGTTTGAAATAAATAAACAGGTTAAAAAAAAATGAGTGTAAGGAATAGATTGTGGTCTTGAAAAACATATTTTCTGTGAATCAAAACACATCTCTCTTCTCTGACGGACACAAGCATCGCTGCACAGTGTGAGCAGAAGAAAGTAATATTTAAAATGAAGGCTAAAATTCTAATCTGTTGGACATGTAGAAAGAATGATGCTAGAGTCATTGAACTATGGCTCTGCTCTGACTATATGGCTTTTTTTGTGCAGACCCGGTTGAACTGACCTCCTGGAGCTTCCGAGCGCTACTAGAAGGACTTCAATAACCCAGAAGTGACTTTATATTTCACATGTCAAGTATAAGCAACATACCCGCTCCAAAGCTCATTATTTCCCAAACCTTCATCACATTTCAACATCCATAGCTTTAACTATCTCCCCCCTCCCGAGAAGAAAAATGCCGTGTCCCCCAAACCCTGCAGCTTCGCCAGTGACCTGTGACCGCTGTGGGGAAGAACACGGGCCAGATCGAAGCGTGAGTGAAAGCCGATATCTCTGACGGCTAATGCTAAATGACACACGATAGCCGCTGAGCTGACCCCATACTTGTGCTCAGTGACCTGCACGTCCCGACCGGCCCCGGACAAGCCCCAACTGCTTACCATCACCTGAATGACTTTAGAGAACCATTTCATTCATTGTAAAGCATGTGCCTGTTTACGCTTGCTTGATAAGTAATTGAAAAAGGAATTCTGCCATTGTGAGCGACTAAACGGTTAAAATGTAAAAGTTGCAACCTGGTATCCGGCCTGCAACACTGTGTTTGTAAAAAAACGTATTCACATGATATATAGGCAAGCTTAATTTGTGACCACTGTGAGAAAAAAAAAACTATGAGACTGACAAACTATTGAAATTCTTTAACCTTTAGAATAGATTTGTAGAAATACATAGATAATTTATTGATCCCTGTTGGAGAAATTCAGGTGTTCAGCCGCAGAAAAAAATCCATTCATACAAATTGCTGGTGATGAGCTGCTTCCTATCCTCTGGTGGATGTCTGCGGTGTCAGCTTGGTTCGGACTATTTTCTCTGCTCTGGTCCAGACTAAAATCCTGAAAATGCAGCATTAGCATTTGTCCCCCTAAAAAAATTGCATTCAGCTTGGTCTGCTTGGTTGGGACTGTGCACTCTCTCTGCTTTGATTTGGATCCGTGTAAAACCAAGAATACTACCTGCAGTAGCATTTACAGCTAGAAATAAAGCAAGAAAAATATAAATTGTAACAAATAGAGCAGGACTTCTCTCACTTGGACCCCAAAAATTGGCTTCTTTCAATTTGAGTTGAATATTTAGCGAAAAAAGGGGGGCATTATCTGACCCCAAGATTCAGTTGAAGAAAAGCCATCCCTAGCTCGAGAATTTTGATTGTGTTTGACAGGATATTTCTAGCCTGGTCGTACCAAACCATAGTACAAATTACATTTCGTACTAAGGTCTGGAGGTGCTCCATTGAGCTCCATTTACAGGTGGTAGACGATTGAAACGTTACACTGTAAACTGCAATAGCCCCTTCAATTTAAAAATTCAATTCCAAGGGCTGCCTTAAAATGTTGATTCCAAACAATTAGAATTGTATAGTATAATCAAGTTATTTGCCTGTGTTTTTTCAACTTATGTAATTAATTCATAGTACTTGATAATACGAATCAATTCAATTGCTTTATTTCAGTTGAGTAGAATAAGGGAACGTTGTTAACTGAGCAAGCTTGAGAAAGTTGAGTCAACAACTTTCCCTTATTCTACTAAACTGAAATAAAGCAATTGAATTGATTCGTATTATCAAGTACTATGAATTAATTACATAAGTTGAATAAACACAGGCAAATAACTTGATTACACTATACAATTCTAATTGTTTGGAATCAACATTTTAAGGCAGCCCTTGGAATTGAATGTTTAAGTTAAAATAAATGGTTATTTTTAATCGTTTTACCTACTGGTTTGTTACTTTACACAATCCATTTTACCCTATTAACAATTTACAAAACATTTAGCTGGAAAGACCATTTTTATTGCCACAGACTTAATCAAACTGAATGTTATTCAAGATTATTCAACAAACTCAAATAAAATCAATAAGTTAAATGAACAATTCAGTCCAAACTTTTACAATGTAAATATATATGTTTTAAGCTTAAAAATAGCATTAGCTTCAAAATAAACTTAAAACCCAATACTTTTTTTTAAACCCTGGCCCTTGTCCATCAGCCTTCATTAAAACATACACCTGGTTTCATTTCAAACTCAGACAAAAGGATAAAATTACCCTTTAAATAATGTGAGTTTTCAATTACATCCAATTAGGGCTATAACAAGTATAATGGATCTCTAATCAAATAATTTTTTTTATCCAAACATTTATGACTGACAGCTGTATCTACCCCAGAATTAAATGGTATATCACATTCAGAAAACGATTTTAACTCCACAATAAAATCCACGCAACTTGTTTTCACACACAAGGACCATCCTCACTCTCACAACTGAAAAAGTTGTGTTCTTGAAAAATATCTAACAAAATGTGTTATCCCCAGATTTAAACTGAGCTTCTGAGAATGTTCTTGATTTGTTGGCACAATTCATATCATAAATCAAAAGGGGTGATCACAACTACTACATACAATCATGGGTCAGAAGATGTTACATTTTCCTCACACCATGAACTAGTGAAGAACAATGTCCACCTCTGTTTCTGAAGGAGTTCCAACGTGTACCTCATTTCTCTGGGATAGTCCATGTTCAAACTGTAAACCCCATGAGCATTGCCATGGCTGTGGGAATATCACCAAGATCTGTCAGTCACTGATTCCTTCAGCACGACGGACACATTCAGACCTCTTCAGAAGTAGGACCCACTTTGATCTCTTTGTTATTCTCTCATCATCAGCGGTCTGTAACATAAAATTACAAATGTATGCATTCATATAAAAAAAGGACAAAAGTCCAAACATGAGTTTGAACCCAAACTGAGCTCACTTGGTGGAGGCAAATTACTAACTATGCATGTACGTATGCCTTTACAAAGATTGCTTGAAGTAATATGCCCAAATCTGTGTCTTGTGAGGGCCGATTGTGGCTCTTTAGGCCAAGCGAGGGGCACGTTTGTTTTTTCTTCATAATTTAGAGTCTGCAGTTTTTATTCAAACTTAAAATAGATCTGGACCTTCAGACAAAGCTGAAATAGGTTAAAATGTATACAAATCCTTTAAAAGAATAGGCCACCGTTTTTACATACCGACATATGGACTTACCTTAGACTAGTTGATATGTACCGGTCTGGTCTTTGTCCGTGCACTCTGTCATGCAAACGGAGCACAAACGTCCGTCAATAGAAGCAAGCTGAGCGGGAGAGAAGTCTTTAGGAGTTAGTGCGTGGACGTAGTGCTCCTCGTGTTATTACGCCTCACAATATAGTACCCAATGCTATGACCATTGGGTGGCAGCTCTCATTGCCACCCCCCTGACCCAGAAATGGACAATAAAGGGCTTGAAAATGAATGAATGAATATAGTACCCCTTTTATCCGCTGAAAAAATTGACATGCTACATTGTAGTGTAACACGTCACGTAACTGTATTTAAATAGGGAACACGTGGAAGAGTTTAACGGGAGCTGATTTCGTTACTATATATACAGTATGTGGAAGAGGCTGCATTTGTGCTCCGTTTGCATGACAGAGCGCACGGACAAAGACCAGACAGGTACATATCAACTAGTCTAAGGTAAGAACATGTGTCAGTATGTAAAAACGGTGGCCTATTCCTTTATGATATGCCCTTTGATCAAATAAAAATACATGTTAATATTATATAGATCAAAGTTTAGACGTAGATGTTGAAATCTTACCTCTACAGCTTTAACAAATGAAGAACAATCGTCCCCGAAGAAATGTGGAAGTCCAAGTAGAAGGACGGCCCTCATAAAAGAGTGAGTTGTCAAGAGTTCTCCTAGAAAGAAAGAAAAAAATATTATAAATCCTCAAACTGAAAAGCATTATGTAATCTGGATGAAATTTCCCCCACAACTGTAAAGATGGGTGGTAGTTAAGAGTTTCTATTACTGAGGACAACCATTTACTTAGAGAACTTGGGTTTATGATCAACGGCTGCTGCAAATTTGATTCATTTAGGTCGACTAATCCAGTCATATGCCTGGATATAAAAATGTAATTCTGCAGATTGAATTTTCGAAAGAGGTAAACATTAGGTCAAATTGAAAAAACAAAAGTTGGTGGCCAGGTGGGGGATGTAACATGGAATGATTGAATTAGACTTAAGTTATTTTACTAAGCAGATTAGTGTAATGATTGGAAAAGATTTGGAGATGTAAATAAATGAAACCAAAACCATTTCCATATTCAAAAAGTATAAAAATATGCACAGCATTAGAATACAATTAAAGTCAGCATGTTAATCTCTGAACAGAAGCAAAAGTTGGCAAGTTGAGTCACTAATTGGAAAAAGGTCAACATTTGTTGAAATGGGTAATCAAAGCATTGAAAAGCTACCCATTACAACGGATTAGATCTGTACAGCGTATCCGAAGCCATGGCACTTTTGTACTGGTTAGGACTCAGTAATGCAGTAAACACAGCTCACATGTCACTCCCGGTGTGTGAAGAAGGACCAAACAAACAGCACAGGCGAGTGGCGCAGCAGCCGACAAAGTATCTTTGAACGTAGTACAACGAACGTCAAAGAAATAGTCCCACTATAAACACAAACCCACTCAAAATTGAATAGAAAGTTGAATACCCACATATATAGCACCAACACAGATATTTAGAGTATGATTATGTGACCTATCAACGAAAAACTCGAGAAGTTTCTTTTCTCTTTACATTGCTTTGAAGGCACGAACAACACGGTCCACCTCCACCATTCTCGCAGGTTCACGACGACACAGCCTATCGCTAAGGCTGATATCTTAGATTATTTTGCAAGACATACAGCTGTCTACAACAGATTAAAGAGTTTACTTACCGAAGAAAGATGTGAGGAAGATGCCAAAAGTCCCAACAGAAGTTGTAGATGAAGTCCCAACCTCTGCTACAACCATGCGGTCATGGGCGCAAAGAGGCTGCTTCCGTGTCACGCAGACGTGATGACGTCCTCAATTAAAAGTGTTTACCAAGAATAATCAAGTCAATGAACTCAACAAGTTATCTTGAATTGGATTTTTACGTTTACTGCTGAAGAGTTGTTTCAATTCATGATTTCGATTTGTGATAGCTTTTTGGGAAAAACATGCTGATTTAACTCAATATTATGGGTTGAGATAACTAAAAAGTCAAAACAAGAATTTACAGTGTAGCATTTAGCCTAGCCATCTCCTTTGCCACGGTGCCCGTGGGGAGTAGCGCCACAATCTTTGCGAGTATTTATAAACATTCCTCTTGCTTCAATTTCTTGAAAGAACCAGACCGGATTACTTTACTATCGCATTCTTCACCATTGCCAAACCACAACCTGCCCGTTCGGCGCAAACTCTTGACGTCACCCTCAACTAACTACAACACCCGCCTCCCACGGCCTGATTGGTCGGATGGAATTCAACGAATTGTAATCGCAAACACAGGGATCAGACCCAGACGTTACATGCAGGGAAATTATTATTGAACGGAGTGTACGGA